AATTCTGTTGGTTTCTTTCAGTCACAGGCCAGAATAGCTCATATATGTGGGTCTTGGTTAACTTCATTCCTAGGCCTTCTGTTTGGGTCAAGTAATTTGTGTTTTCAACTCTCCTTCTCATTTCTTTCCCCAGAATCCGTGGATAACTGCCCCAGCAACTGCTACGGCAATGGTGACTGTATCTCTGGGACCTGCCACTGCTTTCTGGGTTTCCTGGGCCCTGACTGTGGCAGAGGTGAGACCACTGCATGTGGGCTTGGGACTTCCATTCCCAGAGCCCCAGGGCAGTCTCGGACTGTACTCTCAGGGCAAGTACAGAACCCCAGGCCACCTTCTGACTTGCCTAAAAGGATCCCAATGGCTTTAGTGGGTGGTCTGCAGGCAGATCTGTGACCTTGTTGGCCATTCTTACCCACATTTGGATGATTGGGGAGACAAGGGAGGGGCAGCCACCATGAATTTAACATCCATTGTGTGGGTAGCAGTGGGACTTCTGAAGTGCTCGGCCCTTTCCAGCCATCTTCCGTGTTGCCTTTACTACCTTCTGTCAGTGCAAGAGGGAGCTCTGGTAGCATAGTGTCTAAGGCATTTGACTGCTAACCAGAAGGCTGGTGGTTCAAACCCACCAGCCACTCCTCAGAAGAATGATTGGGCAATCTATTTCCATAGCGATACCACCTCTGAAACCCAAGGAGGGGTAGCATTGAGTCGGATCTGACTCCACGGCAGTGAGTTGGTTTTAGTTTATCAGCGCAGGATGAAGTTTTGGCTAAGACCACCAAGGAAGGCCTTGGAATGCTTCTCCACATAGGACCCCAATGTTGCCTGATATTTGGACACATACAGTGATAATGATAACCACTATTGAGATAGTTCAGAAGGCTGCCCAGGATATAGTCTGTGCTTCTGGCTTTCATTTCTGTCCTGAAGAATTAATAAGGAACATGCCAGAGTTGATTCTGAGAACTTGGCACTCCCCTTAAGGAGCTCAAATAATGAATGTCTTTTGGTTTTTCCACCTCTTCACTCAGTCAGCAGACATTTGATTCATGCCCATTCCAGGCACTGGGGTTGCAGTGAATGAGACATGATCCCAAGAGCCCCCAGCCTGGTCTGTGAGGCAGACAAGTAAATTGACTATTACAAAGCAGTACGTGATATGTACCATAACAAGGCTAAGTACAGGAGATTCTATCAGAACAGAAGAAGGGAGGCTGTCTCAATTTGGAAAGGGATAAAAATCAGAAAGAGCTTCCCAAATGAGGTGACATTTGACCAAGGCCTGACACTTGAGTAGGAGTTCATCAGTGGAAGGCAGAGGTGGTGATTGCCAAGTGTAGGGAGCAGTGGCCTCTAGGTACTGTACTTGATACTGCCTTGGAGAGTCTGCTTATTCTGTATAGTATGAAATAGACTCAGTTTGAAGCAGAACCAGCAGCCCCAAGGAAATGCTGTGATTACCTGCTGAGTACTTTACAAAGGGAAGAAGTCAGGTGGGTCCAGGAGATGGTGCTGCAGAGAGAAGAAATGAGTCATTCCTTATAATAAGAATTACTGTCTCATCCCATATGCACTTAAAGTTAAGAGTCATGTATAAAACAGTCTTATTGTATCTCAGTAGGACTGGTAGGTACTTACAGCACAATACAATGTAATTTATTTTTATATAGTGTCTTTTGTACAGATGATCACAAAACCCTTTACACTAAGAGGCAGAATGGAAAGATAATACTTAAGGAGCCAAGTTGGGCTCAGCTATTCTCCTGTGGGGGCAGTGTTGTATGAGGCTTGAGTAGAGGCCTGAAAGGCAAGAAAAGCTGAGATTTGCTGGGTTAAAGATGACAGTAAGTGGTGCTGCAGATGAGCTGGGGGAAAGTGGAGTGCTATTAGCAGGAGAGGAGTAGAGAAGGAATTTGAGACAGGCAGGAGGCCCAGCCACTGTCTTTTCCAGTGAGAACAAGGAATAGATTGAAGCTTCCCGTCTAAGGACCCTAACAACCACCATACTACATCAGCAACACGAAGGGGATGGGGAAAGTGACATTTTGGTAACCACCAACTCTGCCAGGCCCTGCAGTGGCCACTATCACCTACAATTCCAAAGTGTTTAAACTAGAATGAAATGCAAAGCAATTGAGGTTAGTGGTCAAGCCAGTGAGGAGAGAATGGGACAAAGGCAGTTGGGATATGCTGGGCTTTGATTCATGCCAGGTTTCCTGGTTTCCTGTCCTATCTCCCCCAGCCTCCTGCCCTGTGCTTTGTAGTGGAAACGGCCAATACATGAAGGGCAGGTGCCTGTGCCACAGTGGCTGGAAGGGAGCTGAGTGTGATGTGCCCACCAACCAGTGTATCGACGTGGCTTGCAGCAACCATGGCACCTGCATCATGGGCACCTGCATCTGTAATCCTGGCTATAAGGGCGAGAGCTGTGAAGAAGGTAAGACTTGTGGGCTGGCAGCTCCAGCACCTTCCTCTGAGGTAGAGGCCTGCACACAGTGCCAAGAGGGCATCCAGGGAACAGAGGAAACCTCCTGAGCTGCTCTGGGAACCTCTGTGCCCTAAGTCAGGAACTCAACCAGCAACACCAAGCCAAATAAAGAGGACAGACAAATCAGGGTTTTGATCAGAGAAGAGAACTGTCATTTATTGAGGTCTTACCACATACAAGACTTTATGCCACTCCATACTATTTATCTTATTTAATCCTCAAACCATATTAGGGAATGGTTTCCATTTTACAGTTGAGGAAACTAAGATGCAGAGTCAAATGACTTGCCCAGTAGATGACTTGACGAGTAGATGGCAGAGTTTGGTTTAATCTTTCTGGCTCCATAACTCAAGTTTTTTCCACACCCCCATAAACTCATCTACTCTCTTTCTTCCTCCATTTCTGAAGTCTGATTCTATTATAGACCTCCAACCCCTGCCATTCTTTATGACACTCCTCTATGTGTGTTCATACATGTGGCTCTTAGGTGCCCATGAGCCTGTCTCCCTCCTTCATAAAGTGAATATATGCCTGGGTAGGTCAAGGCTGCCGATTTAATACCTGATGTCAGTTCATTTCTTGGAAAATATAACCAGGTGAGATAAATAAATATTCCTATCTCACAAATGGTAAAATTGTAGCCCAGTGACATGCCCATTATCTTGGAGCTAACTAATAGCAGAGTGGTAATTCAACCCGGGTCTTTTCACTTCAAAAATTTAGTTCTTTTTCTTTATGACTGCATGAGATTTCCAGATGAGAAGAGGAGGGTTATTCATAAACACTACAGAGTAGCATTTAAAAGTGTACACTCTGGAATCAGATGGAGGTTTGAGTCTTGCTTCTAACCTTAGTTTCTTAATCTGTGAAATGAGAATGTCTCCCTGAGAGGGCTTTTATTTATTTATTTATTTTAAATTCTGCTTTAGGTGCAAGTTTATAGAGCAGAGTTTGTTTTACATTCAGCATTGGTGTACATTTGCTTTCACTCCCCAATTACCATCCCCAACCCTAACCCACTTGCTTCCCCTCCCTGTCCAGTAACCACCGCCCACCATGCTCTTCATAGTTATGCACTCCTGTGTGTCCTGCATTTCCTCCATGCAAATGTTGCCCCTCTGGTGCCCTGTGGTGGATTGCTCCAAGGGATGCATCTCCATAGAGTATGTGGGTGCATCACCCTGGGTCAAGTAGTCTGCATGTACATCTTGTTTACTATTGGGCTGAGAGCCCGCCCCTGGGAGTTTCATTCTAGGCCTGAAGTGTATCCCAGGGCCAGAGTATTGGGGATCCCACCAGAGTCCATCTGACCAGTAATTCTGGTTCTTATTGTGTTTTTGGATTTTGTGTCATGTTTTTCCCCCCACTCTATCCAGGATTTCCAGTTTTGATCCTTTCCCGAGTGGTTGGCATTGGTAGCTGGGCAACGTCTAGTTCTGGTCTCGAGGTCCGTAATATCCAAGGGCTGATTGCTTCCAAATGGCCTTGTTTTTCTGTTTTTTGTTTTTCACTCTTGTTCACTTCCAATGATAGGAGACCATTAGCTGCCTCTTAGATGGCCACTTGAGAGCTTTTAAGACCCCAGTTGCTACCTGAGAGGGCTATTGTGAAGATTAAATTAAATGACTATGTAAATCCCATAGAAAAGGAGCCCTTGTGGTGCAGTGGTTAAGCATTCACATGCTAACCAAAAGGTTGACAGTTCAAATCCACTAGCCACTCCACAGGAGAGAAATGGGGCAGTCTGCTTCCATAAAGATTTATAGCCTGGGAAATCCTCTACTCAGTTCTAGTCTATCCTGTAGAATCACTGTGAGTTGGAATTGACTTGATGGCAACAGGTTTAAAGAATATAGCTCAGTGTCTGACACATAGTAAATGCTCTATAAACATTAGCTATTATCACTCCAGGTAGTTCCTAGGTTATGAACATCCCACTTGTGTACAACCCATAGTTATAAACCAACCCCCTGTACAGCCTTCCCTCTCCCCGCTAGTTCCCTGGATCCATGCTGGGAAGAAATGATGCGTTGCTACCTGGTTAATCACAGCTCCAGACACTCATTGGCCCAGCGCTAGCAGCCTCTTCCTCCTTTTCCTTCTATTCCTTCCGTTCTGGTTCCTGCTCTCAGCAGTGGCCACCGCACCAGCATCCCCTCTTTCCATAGTGAGGGAAGTTTTCTACTTTCTGTGATGGTCTCCTTCAGTGCACCCACCCACCCTCCCACTGCCATCCCCCCCGCCTATACCTCTGCACCTTGGTTTATTGCACCCGCCCTCACCCCTTCCTCCTCCTCTTCACCAGTCTCCCTTCCCTTTCAGTATCGTTCCACCAAGTGGCTGCTGCTGCTGCTGCCGCTGCCAGCCTGCTTCTTCGGTAGTGGTGCTGAGCTGAGGGCTGGGAAGCCCCTGGCCCCATGCACCGCTCCACTGCTGCTGCCACTGACGCCATCACTCAGCCACCAGCCCTTGGCCTCACCGAGTTGCAGAGTTAGTTAGGGCTCCCTTGCCAGCTGCATTGCCCAGCCCAGCCCTGAGCCATCTGGCCTTGCTGCCCTGCTGCTCCTGTTTGGCTTGCAGTCCACCTCCACCAGCTCAGCAGTGTGAATCAAAGCATTATTATTATTATTACTGTATTATTATGTTAAAAATGTTTTAGTGTATCTGGAAATGCTCCTTTAATTTTTTTTTTTTTGAATGTTTAGAAAGGTGTGCTATATAGTAAGACAAATATTTTACTGACATTAGGTACATACCATACTTAACTGTTCCAACTTGCTACAAATTGGACTTAAAAACCGACTTAGGAACGGAACTCATTCATAATCCTGGGACTGCCTGTATTGTTAGTAGTATTAGAAGTATTCTGGGGACAATTGAAGCACATTTCCTATTTCACCCACTCTATCAAACGTCTTTTGAAAAGGTTGCACTTCGGCTTTTGAAATTGACAGATGACTCAATGTACTGGTGGTTACCTCCCATTCTTCAAAGTCTGGGGCCCTGGTGTCTTCTCTGGTGGGTGAAGCAGGCTCCATAGAAACCCATTTGGTAATTTAACAGATAACCTTCTCTTAAGCCATCATTTTCTCTTTAAAAAAAAAAGAGAGAGAATGTAACAGACCCATTTTCAAAGAGTGGGGGAGCAGGAAGCGATTAAAGTCTGAAAAGCATTGTCTCTTCAAGACAAGCTGTACAAAGCCCAAGTGACTGGAAACTCCTGATTCTGACCTATTAACTTTGATGGAGATTACTTTGGGCTGTCTGAGGGAGAAGGCTTGCCAGCTTCTCCAACAAAGGGACTTAGTTTTCTGATCCTGACAATGGTGACCTTCATCTGCTTTACTTTTCATTTTAGTCACTTGAGGTGACGACCTTGAGAAGGAAAGAAAAACAGAAAGGAGATTCCATTTGAAACTGTGGGGCTCTCCTACCCCCAACTCCCCCAGTATTGTGTGGGCCAGGAAGTGGGGAGTTGTTCTTCTGCAGATGCCAGTACTGGACAGAGCCACAGAGCTGCAGAGTTATTTGTAAAGAGAGAAAAAAAAGTTGTTTCGACCTTTGATTTATGTTATCTATTTGAAAAGAAATGTTTTTACTCCTGCTTTCTTTTCTGAGGAGGGCCATCTGGTATTGATTCCTTTTATTATTTTTGTTTCTTTGGAGAAGCGTCATTGCATGTTCCTTGTTTATAAGGGGTTTTCTTGAGGCCTTTGTCATCCTCCCTTCTCTTACCCCCTCTTCTCTGAGCTCTGCTCTAAGAAGTTTCGCTGTGTTTATAAAACATCAGCTAACAAGCTTACTTCTCTCTCTCTCTTTCTCTCTTTTTCTTCTGAAGTTTATTGCCACATATTTTTTAAAACTTGAACTGAGCCAGCAGGACATTTGGAGGAAGTTAGGGGAGGGGCAGAAGGGAACAAACTTAGGCCTTTTACAGTGAAAAATGAGACACAATTTTTTTGGTCCCAGAGAGTGTCTAATAACTTGTGTGGTCACTAACATATCAAATATTTTGGGAAAGGCTTGTGTTTGCAGTGTGGCCACGCAGGCCTCATCATTGTACTAATGGGCTAAGCTTCTGCCTGAATTCTTGGCTTGCATGACAAGCTCTGCAGAGGAAAATATGTAACTCTTTTAAGAAGAAACTAAGTTTGACTGTCTTCTAAACAAAATTTAGCCTACCTCCTCAACAACTCCTCTCAGCCCTTTTACCACAGTGCTTCCCCACCACAGACCAGCTGGTTTTTCCCGTGTTACACACAGCTCCCTGGGAAATAAATAGTGTTCATGAAACTACCCTAGTGTGGTGATAAGAAGACAACTTTAATCCCATCCTAGGGTTCCTGTCACCCAGAGGGGGAGGGTAGATTCAGAGTCTACATATGACCTCTTTGGCAGGCAGATCCTTACTGTAACGTGGAAAACAGCCCAAGGTTTGGGATCAGTAGAAAGCAGGGACAAATTCTTCCCACAGGAATCTCAGCCAGTCCAGCCTAGGCTTCCTTGTGCTGCCTTCCCTTCCAGATGAAGCCCTCTTTAAAATTCCCTATCAGCTGCTAACCCCACATTCCCTTTGCCAAGTCGACCTTCAGAAGCCGTGATTAATTGCCTGGAGTTAGCCTCTCATCAGTTTTTTCTGATCTTTGTTTTCTGCCTGGACCGTCTGCTGAGAGCACGAGATTCACTTTACTCTTTGCTCGTTTTTGGGTCCCTGTTAGACTTGTTAGCCTAAGGAAGAACAGCAGTATGACGCCAGCGGCCTCTTGCTAAAATTGGTGCCCTCTCGGCCTGGTTGCTAACGGTGGAGATTTATAGGCTGGTCCTCCAGGGTGCCCCGGGGCTCACAGAGACAATTTTAGCCCAAAGTTAGGGGACAGGAACTTACAGAAGGAGAAATATAAGCCTTGGGATAGGAATTGTCAAATTAGAAAGCTTTCTGGATCTAGGGAATTACCAGAGTAACCAAATGGGCCAGAATAATCCTTCTGAGGTTCAGAGATCTGAGGAAGTTCATGAAAATTTATCACTGTTATTATTTTTGTTATTTTTAATTACCAAGAAATCCAACAGGTCATACTTCCACCATAATTAAATGGTGTCCAGAGACTGCAGTAGAAGAGTCTTTGCTTATGTTTGATTTTGTTAATTCTCTAATTGGCCCTATTTTTATTCTTGTTTTTGTTTTTATTTCCACTTTTAACCACTTACTTTGTATGTTTATGTATATAAGTAGTATAAGAAGTATCATTAGTATAAGAAGGGATCATTCCCTGGAGAAGGATGTCATGCTTGGTAGGGTGGAGGGTCGACGAAAGAGGGGAAGGCCTTCAACGAGATGGATTGACATGGTGGCTGTGATGATGGGCTCAAGTATAGCAGGGATTGTGGGGCTGGCGCGGGATCGGGCAGTGTTTCATTCTGCTGTGCATGGGGTCGCTATGAGTCGGAAACGACCCAACGGCACTTAACAACAACAACATAAATAGTATATATGTATACATGCATTTTTGAACCAGTAAGATGGTAGACGAAATAGCAAGAGGTCTGCACTAGGAAAGAGTGATTTGAACTTAAATTCCTCTCCTTACCAGCTATGCGATCCTGGGCAAGTTATTCAACCTCTCTGTGCTTCAGTTTCCTTATCTGTAAGATGAGGATAATTATGATATCTACCTCAGAGTATTGTTGTACAGATTAAGTGCAATAATGTACATAAAATGTTAGTAGCCAAATATGTGGCACAGTAGTAGGACTAAATCAGTGCTGATTGTTTTTGTTTTCATCATTATTATGTTTTTAGCAAATAAATGGTCACTCGCAACGACTGCTCTTCTTATTTCTCACTTACGCCATTGAGTGGCATCCCTTTAAAAAACTAAATAGTGAAAAAGTTTCCTTTACAAACTGGCCCTCAAATATTCTCAGAATATTGCCATTTGTAAAGTATCTACCCATTTGTTTAACATACCCAGGCCAGGTGTTCCACCATTTTATAGATGCAAAAGTCAGATATACTGGGTTATGAAAGATAATTGATGAATAAAGTAAAAGGAAGTCTGAATGATAAATGAGCTCTGCCCACAGTTTGCCTGAGTCATGTCCCGATGTCATTGCTACTGTGTATCCTGATAGAAGAGTAAGAAGTAACATTTTTGTAGTAATTTACAGTTTCTACAGTCCTTTCAAATTCTCAATGTCATTTGATCCTCACAACAATCTGAGAGGTAGGAATTTTTACCATACCTGCTCTTTAGATAGGAGCTCCAATAGTTAGGTGGCTCGACCATGATCATAAAACCTGTCAGTTTTGTCCCTTGACCCTTAGGTCCTCAGAAGCCAAATGCTAAGCTCTTCCCTGTGCAGCACTAAGACCTCCACGTGAGTCCTCTAAGGAAGAATCTGGTTTCATTCATCACAGCTCCTTCTACTTCCCAGCAGCCACGTGTTGGGTCTCTCACTCAGATGCCATTATCACCTTACAAAATTAATAAAATTGTCTGCAACTCTAAAATAAAGACAAATCCTAACAACTTTTTAACAAAGTAGAGAACATGGACTTTTGCTAGATGTTTTGTCTTCCATGTAATAAATTAGCCATGTATAAGTATCTTCTACCTTTTTGGTGCCTTGTGGATAATTAGAGGTTAATTTTGTATAGCCCCATAACTAAAACTTTTATTTGGGAGGACAGACCTAGTAACAGAATCAGCTTCAGAATCAGACAGACCTGTTTTCAAATCTCTCTGTGACAGAAATTAGCTATGTCATCTAGGATAAACTGCTTCCCTCTCTGAGCCTCAGTTTCCTCATGTGTACCTCATTGGGTTGGAGAAGTGAATCTGATAAATGTACATAAAGCACCTGATATAGTGCAGGCACAGAGAAGCCCCACAAGTGTTGTCCGTTATTCTCCTTTCCCTCTTCCTGGCTTGGTCTCTTGATACTTCTTTGACCTTGGGCCCTACAAGTCTGCAAAGACTGCTTGGCTGTGAGCCACAGCCACACAGTCCACCTACCACATAAGGAGAAGCTGTGCAGAGTCAGCACGTATAATTGAATATTGTCATCAAAATGTTTGCCCTCTGGAAAGTGAGGTTTGAAAAAAATTTAGGAAAATAATGAAATTTTAAAAATTCTCATTTAACTAGATGGTGCCCAGCTACCACTTCCATCCACTTGGAAGGGATGTAGGAGATCCTGCATAGAGAGGGAGAACAATGTGGAACAAAACTCAAAATCATTTGGAGGCAAAAAAAA